GACAACAAAGGAGGTTTAGAATCATTTGCAAAGGTTATTCACTCAATCAAATTTTGCAAAGCAGTATCAATTGGAGAATGACATACGAGCTCTTTAGCAGAAAAATATAAGTATTCAGGAGTTTTATTCTGCTATGACAGATCTTTGGGATCATTTGGCTCTTAGAGAATCAGCCGAATTAAAGGCATGTGGTGCCAATATTGCTCATAGAGAGTAGCAACGGTTGGTACAATTTTTAACGGCACTTCGTAGTGATTTTGAAGGACTTAGAGGTTCAATTTTGCATCGTTCTCTACTTCCTTCTATTGACTCAGTTGTCAGTGAATTATTGGTTGAAAAAATACACCTTAAGTCTTATTTTGAAAAGGGAATTCTTTCTACTTCTAATCCTTCTGTGCTAACAGTACCTTCTAAACCATTCTCTAATATTTAGAATAAGCCTTACACAAGGATTGCCGTCAACGAGTGCAGTTTTTGTAAGCAGAAAGGTCATTGGAATGCTCAATGTCCTAAGTTAAGATAGCAGAATCAATCACAACAACAATCTCAAGATTGGAAGCCTGGCAACCAGTTACAATCTAATGCTCATAGACCACTTTAGGGTTACAAACCACCACAGTCTAATACTGCAGCAGTAGTTTCATCAGGTCCTTTCACCGATTCTAGTACTTTGATTGAGCAATTTTAGAAGTTTCTCTCCTTACAGCCACAAGCTATGTTTGCTTCTTCTTCCGTAGGTTAGTTGTCTCATAGTTTTCAGGTATGTCACATTCTGTATAGGTCTTGGATTCTGGTGCTTCACATTATATGTCTCCAGATTCTTCATCTTTTGCTTTTGTATCTCCTTCATCTTCTATTCCTGTTATGACTGTTGATGACACTCCTATGCCTTTAGCAGGTGTTGGTTCTGTTGTCACACCTCACTTGTTTCTCCCTAATGTTTATCATATTCTGAAACTCACATTAAATCTTGCTTCTGTTGGTCAGTTATGTGATTCTGGTAATTTAGTCACCTTTTTCTCTTCTTCTTGTTATATGCAGGATCTGCAGTCTCAGAAGTTGATTGGGACAGGCCATAGGAAGGGGAGACTATATATTTTGGATGAGTTAAAAGTGTCAGTTGTTGTTGTTGCTGCTACTAGTGTTGATTTATCTTCTTTTCGTTTGAGTCCTTTTTCTTCTAGTTTTTATTTTTGGCATTCTTGTCTAGGTTATGTTTCGTCTTCTTGTTGAGATTTTTGGCATCCACAGGGGTTTTAGGAAATTTACAAACTTGTGATATTTCTGATGTGTAGTGGATGTAAACTGGAAAAATTTTCAGCTTTACCTTTTAATCGAAGTATTTCTATTTCTTCTTCTCCATGTGATTTGATTCATTCTGATGTATGAGGACCTTCTCCTGTTGCCACAAAATGAGGGTCTCGATATTATGTTTCTTTTATTGATAATCATAATCGTTATTGTTGGATTTATTTAATGAAACATCATTCTGAATTCTTTGAGATATATACAACATTTCGAGCTCTTGTCAAAACTTCACATTCTGCTGTTATGAAATGTTTTAGGTGTGATTTGGGTGGGGAATACACTTCTAATAAATTTGATGAGTTACTTGCCTTAGATGGAACTCTTCACCAAACTTCGTGTACAGATATTCCTGAGCAAAATGGTGTTGCTGAAAGAAAACATAGGCACATTGTTAAAACTGCTCGTTCTCTCTTGTTGTCTGCTTCTGTTCTTAGTGTGTTTTGGGGTGAAGCTGTTCTTACTGCTGTAGGTTTGATTAATACAATTTCATCTTCTCATATTTCAAGTGTTTCTCCTTTCAAAAAGTTGTATGGGTATGCCCCTGATTATTCTTCCTTTAGAGTTTTTAGTTGTACTTGTTTTGTTCTTCGTCCTCATGTTGAATGCAACAAGCTGTCCTCTCGATCTGCTATTTGTGTCTTTCTTGGTTATGGTGAAGGTAAAAAGGGATATCGTTGTTTTGATCCAATAACTCATAAACTTTATGTGTCTTGTCATATTATTTTTCTCGAGCATATACCTTTTTGTTCTATTCCATCCACTACTTATAGATTGACTAGATCTGATCTTATTCGTATAGATTTTTTTTATGAGGATTCTGATAGTTTGTCATCTCAGGTTTCTAGTACTTCAAATACCTCTTCTCATGTTCTTACCCCGTTACCTTTACATTATACTTGACTAATTCATACTGATCATTCTGCAGGTACTGACACTTTACTCTCTAGCACACCTGAAGCTACCTCTTCTCCTATGGTCCCTCAAGCTCCATCTGAGATTGTGGATCCACCTCTACGTCAATCTATACACATCGTAAATCCACAAAGTTACCAGATTTTGTTTATTCTTGTTATTCTTCATCTTTTACTTCCTTTTTAGCTTTTATTCATTGTCTCTCTGAGCCATCTTCTTATAAAGAGGCAATTCTTGATCCTATTTGACAGCAAGATATGGATAGGAACATTCTGTTTTGCATAAGACAGGTACTTGAGATTTGGTTCCTCTACCTCCTGGTAAGAGTGTTGTTGATTATTGTTGGGTATATAAGATCAAGACTAATTCTGATGGATCTGTTGAGCGATATAAAGCTAGGTTGGTTGCAAAAGGGTACTCTCAACAGTATGGTATGGATTATGAGGAGATATTTGCTCTTGTTGCAAAAATGACTATTATTTGTACTCTTATTGCAGTTGCTTCGGTTCGTCAGTGACATATCTCTCAACTTGATGTTAAAAATGCCTTCTTGAATGGAGATCTTAAAGAAGAAGTTTATATGACACCCCCTCCTGGTATTTCACATGATTCTGGGTATGTTTGCAAGTTCAAGAAAGCGTTATATGGTCTCAAACAAGCACCTCGTGCTTGGTTTGAGAAATTTTCTGTTATGAACTCTTTCATTGGATTTGCTTCTAGTAGTCATGATTCTGCTCTTTTTGTTAAGTGTACTGATGCAGGTCATATCATTCTGTCTTTATATGTTGATGATATGATTATTACGAGTGAAGATATTGATGGTATTTTCAGTTTTGAAGACAGAGTTAGCTAGACAGTTTGAAATGAAAGATTTGGGTTTTCTACGATATTTCTTGGGTATTGAGGTCGCCTGCTCACCCAGAGGTTATCTTCTTTCTCAGTCGAAATATGTTGCAGATATTCTTGAGCGAGCTAGACTTATTGATAATAAGACTGTAGATACTCCCATTGAGGTTAACGCAAAATATTCTTCTTCTGATGGTTTACCTTTGTCAGATCCTACTTTACACTGTACTATTGTTGGGAGCTTGATATATCTCATTATTACTCGTCCAGATATTGCATATGCTATTCATATTGTTAGTCAGTTTGTTGCTTTTACTAATACAGTTCATTGGGTAGTTATTTTTCGTATTTTGCGATATCTTCGGGGTACAGTCTTTCAGAGTCTTTTACTTCCATCCACTTCTTCGTTGGAGCTGTGTGCATACTCTGATGTTTATCATGACAGTAATCCCACAGATCGCAAGTCTGTTATCGGTTTCTATATCTTTTTGAGTGATTCTCTTATTTATTGGAAGAACAAGAAACAATCTATTGTTTCTCAATCTTCAACCGAAGTAGAATATCGTGCTATGACATTTACTACCAAAGAGATTGTTTGGTTACGTTGGTTACTTGCAGATATGAGAGTTTCTCTTTCTCATCCTACTCCTATGTATTGTGACAACTAGAAATTTATTTAGATTGCTCACAACTCGATTTTTCATGAACGAACTAAGCACATTGAGATTGATTGTCACTTTACTTGTCATCATCTCAAGCATGACACCATTACTTTGCCCTTTGTTTCTTCTTCTTTGCAGATTACATATTTCTTTACCGAGTCACATTTTATTTCCCGTTTTCGTTGTTTAGTTAACAAACTGTCGATGCTTGTATCTGCCGCATCGTGAGTTTGAGGGGAGATGTTAAGAAATATAAGATTATTTTGTTTATTAAGGGTAAAATAGTTCTTTACTTTCCCTTTGTTTAACCTATATATAGTCTTTTTGTATTTAGGTTAAATCACTTCTTCGTATTCAATTGAATTATGTAGTATCAATAAAACCCTAGTCTCCTATTTTCTTATCTCTTGTATTTCTCTATTATTAGATTGTTTAACAACCTCGGCGCTAAAGGCACCTGCAACCTAAGTGCCATGTCATTTGAAGGGTTCCACCGTGTCCTTGCTTTGTCATCAAATGAAGCTTGACGAGGTTAAAATCTTTTTTCTTATAATTAGAGCTTCACAAAATTTGTTGGGTTATCATCCTCCGCCATTTATTTAAGGTATTTTGTCAAATTTTTTAATTTTTTTTACTGATTTATTTGACTAATTTTTTGGGTTAATTTTTTTAATTATTCTTTTTGTTAATTTTTTAACTAACTTTTTACTGATTTCTTTGACTAATTTTTGTGTTAATTTTTTTAATTAATCTTTTGGTTAATTTTTTAACTTAGTAACTAATCAACGTTGTCAATTTTTTAATTAATTTTTTTTTTTGTTATTGTTATTGTTGTTGTTCTTTTTCTTATTTGTTTTTATAAATGAATAAGGTACCTAATTGGTGATTAAATAAGAAAGAATGCCAAAGTTAAAGGCCATTCCAATACTGGTTAGCGGTTAAATCACCCGAGTTGCATCCGAGTGTAGGTGATATTCCTTGGATAGAAAGTCTTTGATTTTTTGACCGTTAAAGTGAGATTTTATAAAAATATTAGTAACGAATTTGGAAATAATTAATTAAAGTGAGATTTGATACCGATCGTATTTGGTAACCTTTCTTTTTATTAAAGAGTATTTGGTTCGGCGCCAAACACAATGTTTTGAGACGGAGAGGGAAGAGGGAAAACTGGGAAATCAAACTCGTTCTCCCACGGCGGATTAGTTCATTCTTTTCATCCCTCGTCTCTTCAACCTCTAACCCTAAACCTCAATTCCTGTCAAGGGCCACATCATGCTTTCTCCATCCCCATCGAGCTTCCTGACCTTCACGCTTAATGCCGGAAAGCTTTCGGCGATTCTCTCACCCTCTGTCCGGACAACTACTTTCCCAAGTAGTCGACTGGAAACATCGTTAAAAATCGCACCTCCGAGCTCGACGGTAGCAGGGTTAGTGATTTGTTCAACTGATAGGGAATACGGGAATCACATCCGAACGCCATTCTTCGTAAAGGTAACATTCCACTGTTAAGGGGTGTGTGGGCAACTGGGGTTTTAGTCTTGATTTTTATGAATCTGTTGAATTTACTGGTTTGAGAATCTGTTTTTTTTTGTTGCCTCCAGCCTCCAGGAGAAACTTGGCGACGAGAAGCTATTGACATATAATATATGTGCTTATACACTTGATAATTTACCGGCGTTGGGTTCTTCATATACCGCTGTTGGTATTAGCTTAGATCAACAACCCCACCCACCCCCACCAAGGAAAAAAAAAGAGAAAAATGGGAAAACAAAAAGATACAGTAAGTTTGAGATGCATCATATGATTGCAGCTTGTATGTCTATATTCTCATTAGAAACCACACAAATTACGACTGTGCCAATATGCTTGTGAAATCACTGTATCTATAGTTATATAAAAAGTAAAATCTTGGTTAGCGTCCATTAAGTAAGTTTATTGAATTTTATTGTTTGTTTGGTGCTGTAAAAGCCACTTTAGAATACCCAACTATATGTTCCCAATATTGATATTTTCTTGCATAGCTACTGAGGATTCTTATTCCCCCTCCACCATTAACCCAAACCCGATATTGTGGCTGCTAGATGTGGGATGTAGGTAGTGGAAGGCTGAAGCTTACACTAACAAGACACGTTGAACAAATATGAGGTTTGTTCCTTAATTATTAGTTAAAGAGTCAATCAAATATATTAGGTAAATTTACAGTGTCAAGTGGCTTTGAAGATCAGGCCACAACCCAAAGAAAACCCCTTAAATCATGCACCAGCATGGTTGGATAAAATGTCCTTTCATTGCAGGCCTTGTTGTTACCAACAAACATTCATATATGTTCTCTACAGGATGACAAGCAAGTAAATTGCTGGTGTCTAGAACAGAATAAGGTTGGTAATTGAGTGCTCAAAGCTCTTTTGGTTCAAGTAATTATGGCCAAATATACATTTGATTTCTTTTTTTGGTTATACGTCTTATCATGATCATCTAAGCGGGGTTGATTGCTTGGCACTTCATCCAACTATTGACCTTCTACTAACTGGAGGTCATGATTCTAATCTGTCCGGTATGCTTTCGATCGTCTAAAGTCAAATTCCATGCTGCAATGTTTTATTTGTGTAGTGGTTCCAGCTAATCATAATGTGTATATTTCAATTCTGCTAGATCTAGTATGGACATAGTATTTTGACATTTTCGGTCAACAATTTCAGGTTTGGGATATCCGTAGCAAGATGCAAATTTCGAGCCTTGACAACACAGTATCCTCAGTTTTTACTCGACCTACGGTAAGCAATCCTTTTCAAGTGAGAGAGATCATGTTTAAATCTACCTATATTTTATCAGAGCTTATTTCTCACACAACTCCTCATAAGTTTGGGGAGGGAAGAAAGGGTATGACAAGTAGATGGTCAATTAGTCATACCTATTGAGCATGGACACTAAGAAGTCTTTAGATGGGACTAGCCTCATGTTTAAGCGAGAATATGAGTGGAGCTTTAATTTGGTGAGTTGAGATGGGTTGGGATAAAGGATGGTTGAAATACAATTGCTGTGGATATTTAATTTTTTTTCTCCTAATCAATAAAGTGCAGAATTTACAAATTTTGATTGTTGTACTGATATGCTTGATGAACGGCCATTACTTAGTCATGTCTTGTATAGAGTTGCCGTGAGGGATAGGCTAAGTATTGAACCAACATTTGGCATTCTTTACACAAAATAGTTGTTCTCAGACACAAACTTTCAACCTCGCTGTTGTTCGTCTGGACAAGTGGCCCATAGTGGTATTCTTTTAATCTTTTTTTTTTGTTCTATTTTTATTTCCTATTTTTGAAGGAAACAACTAATGTTCTTATTGATGTTTCTGCCATGTAGATTTGGTGCTTTATGAAACCTGAGAGATAACACCTTCTATACTATAGTTGCATTCCAATTTCCTAGAAAGAAAAAATACTATGGTTGTTGCTTCCTCAGTTCCATTGATAGGATATTTTTTTGTTCAATTTGGAAACGTGGTTGACTGCAAAACTGGATTCTTTGTGTTTAAGCCTTAAGGACACATGGGTGTTGGTAACCGAAATTTGTGCAGGATGTGATATAACCAGAATGAAAAACTGGATTGGATTTGCAAAATTGGTGCAGGTGTGTCTAATATGAAAAACTAGAAAATGTTATCATATGACTATAGTTTATGCAATGCAAAATGTATGTACCTTGCTAAGGCAACATAATCTGCAGTTGTAGCAATTAAATCCCCTTATTTCATTGAACCTAATTGTAAAACGTATGTTTCTAGGATCCACAAGTTGTAACAGGCTCTCATTACACAACCATAAAGTTTTGGAACCTTAGACGTGATACTATTTTTTTGCATTATTCTCTTTCTGATTTTGCTTTTCCAGTTTTGACGACATTTATTAATCCTGCATGGCTGGCAAGACGATGACAGCTCTCACACACTGTAAGAAATTTGTGTGAGCAATGGCTTTGCATCCTAAGGAGTATGTACATGTTTTCCTATATGAAACACACTTCTATAATATCTTTGTTTTAGAACTCTTTTCATCATTCAAATGCAGGGATTGTTTTGCATCTGCACCAACTGACAACATAAAAAAGTTGAACCTTCCAAGAGGAGAATATTTGCACAACATTCTGTGAGTTTCCTAATAAACTAAGCAAGAATTCTAATTGTGGAACTTTAGTTGTACAATTTGTCCCCCTTCCCTCTAAAACTTCAGTGCAGTAATCTTTTCTGATTTTCCTGATTAATAAGTTTTGAAAGATTGCTCCTTTTTGAATAGCCAATGTGTTTTCGAGCAAATGGTCGTAGTCACTTAGTCTTTCATATATTCTCTAATATATTTGTGTCTGGTAAATTATACTGGATTTGAAGATGATGCAGACACATCGCAATCAATAATTTTGTTGCTGTGAAAAAATCAAATGTTGTGGTTCAGTTAAAGAAATAGATCAGGACAAAGAAGTTCAACAAGAGGGCCATAAATGGTCATCACCCTGTGCTGAATCATGCCAATGTGGGGTCCTGAGAGGGACAGAGTAAAAAATGGACTTGGGCATTATATATGCTTAGTAACATTCCACAAACTACTTGAACCTGTGTTCTCATTCTCGTCTGCCTGGGACTTCTACCTCAATGCTTTTCCTCTTAACTGAGTTTTATATCTTGGTTTTGAATGTGACTTTTTCTGTTTGTGATATAAAAGAATAGTTTTGCATGTTACTTGGCCAGATGCTACATGATGCATGTCACTTTTTGGCACGTCATCGTTTCTCCATGATTCTTCTTAGCTGTTCTTTTTGTCATTGCTGTATTTGTTGTTGTTTGAGTTGCCTTTTCTGCTAGTTGCGATGGTAGTAGTCCTATTTCTCACACAACTCATAAACTTGGGGAAGGAAGGGTATGGAAGGTAGATGGTCAGTTTTTCACATCTTATGAACATGCACACTAAGAAGTTTTCAAAGGGGCTGGCCTCAAGTTTAAGCAAGTATATATCTCCTAAACACAAAATTGACTTAAGTTTGGTGAGTTGAGATGGGTTGGGATAAAGGATGGTTGAAATACAATTGGTGTGGATATTTAATTTGTTTCTCTCCCAATCAATAGAGTGCCGAATTTACAAATTTTAACTACTGTACATATTCTTCTATGCCATCGTCTCTCCTTACAATATTCTCGTTGTTGCTCTGGCCCTCAACATTGGTGTGTAATTATAGTTATGCGACTAAGTTTAAATACTATACTTCCTAACAATTGCTGTGCTACCGTCTCTCAATGTACTGTCATTCTTAGTATACATCTCCTTCTTGTAGTTTTCATCTTCTTTTTCTTCATATTGTGGCCTTCTCCTTCTCCTTCTTGTAGTGTTCTTATTTTTCTTCTAGTAGTTTTCTTCTTGTTCTACAGTAGTTTTCTTCTTGTTCTTGTAGTTGTTTTCTTCTTGTAATAGTTGTCAACTTCTTGCAATCTCCTTTTTCTTGTTGTTGTAGTCTTCTTCTTCTATAGTCGTCTTCATGTTTATATTTTAGTCTTCTTCCAGTATTCTTTTTCTTGTTGTAGTCTTTTTCTTCTGGTTCTTTGTCTTTCTATTCTTCTTAGAGTTTTATTGTTGTAGTCGTCTTCTTCTTCTTGTAGTCTTCTCCTTCTTGTATTCTTTTTCTTCTCCTTCTAGTTGTCTTCTTCTTCTCCTTGTTGTAATCTTCTTATTCTTCTTCTTTTTGTAGTCATCTTCTTGTAATATTATTCTTCCTGTTGTAGTCTTCATCTTCTAGTCATCTTCTTGCAATCTTCTTATTGTAGTCTTCTTATTTATAGTTGTAGTCTTCTTCTTATTTATAGTTATAGTCTTCTTCTTCTTAGTATTCTACTTCTTATTAGTCTGTCTTTTTCTTATTCTAGTCTTCTTTTTAATATTTTGCCCAGTACACTTATTCTTCTTCTTAATAGTCATCTTCTTTTCTTGTACTTAGATTGTTCTTTTTTTTTAATAGTCTTTTTCTTTCTGAAGTTTTGTTCTTCTTCTAGTCTTCTTTTTCTTTTTGAAGTTTTCTCTGTCATCTTAGAGTCTTATTCTTCTTATTTTTTTTCTTGTAGTCGTCTTCTTTTTGTTGTAGTCTTCTTCTTTTACTTCTTGGAGTCTTCGTCATTGTCGTTGTCTTCTTCTTCTTTTTGTTGTTGTGGTCTTTTTCTTCTTCTTAGTAGTGTTCTTCTTTTAGTTTTTTTCTTCATATTCCGGTCTTCTTATTCTTCTTTTCTTTTTATAGTCTTCTTATTCTTGTAGTTGTCATCTCTCTTTTTTCTTATTGTTATCTTCTTCTTTTTGTAGCCTTGTTTTTCTTGCGGTCTTTTTCTTAGTAGTCTTTTTTTTAGTTATCTTTTTTCTTCTTAGTAGACTTCTTCATATTAGTCTTCTTATTGTTCTTAGTCGTCATCTTCTTCTTTGTAATTTTCTTCTTTTTTTCCTAGTTGTCTTCTTATTGTTGTTGTTGTTACTGTAGTCATTTTCTTCTTGTTATAGTTTTCTTCTTCTTATAGTCTTCTTGTTGTAGCCTTCTTTTTCTTTTCTTTTTTTGTTTTGTAGTCATCTTGTTCTTCTTCGTCTTATTTTTCTTTATCTTCTCCTTGGAGTTGTCGTCTTCTTCTTCTAGTCTTCTTTTTCTTTGATCTTTCTTCTTCTTATAGTCTTATTCTTCTTCTTGTAGTTTTTGTCCTTTTCTTCTTGTTTTTATAGTCTTCTTCTTGTAGTCATCGTCTTATTATTCTTTTTGTTCTTGTTCTTCTTCTCCTAGTCATCTTTTTCTTTTTCTTCTTCATCTTGGTCTTTTTCTTCTTGTTGTAGTAATAATTGTAGTAGCAGTCTTGTTGTTGGTTGTAGTCGTCATCTTCTTTTTGTTGTTGTTGTTGCACTCTTCTTCTTCTTTTCATTGTTGTAGTCTTCTTATACATGGTAGTCTTCTTTTTGTTCTTAATAGGTTTCTCCTTCTTCTTTGTAGTATTTTTTTTTATTAATAATATCCTCATTCTTAGTAGTCTTCTTCTTCTTGTTGTCTTCTTTTTGTAATAGTGAATTCTTTTATAGTCTTCTTCTTCTACTTCTACTAGTCTACTTTTTGTTGTATTCTTCTTCTTCTTTTTGGCAGACTTCTTCTTCTTTTATTCTTATTCTTCCGGTAGCCTTTTTCTTCTTCTTGCTTTTCTATAGTCTTCTTCTTGTCGTTGTCGTTTTCGTCTTCTTCTTATAGTCCTTTTCTTCTTGAAGCCTTCTTCTTGTTGTAGTCTTCTTCTCCTTGTTGTAGTAGTATTCTTCTTCTTTTTGTAGTCTTTTTTTCTTGTTAGTATTTTTTTTCTTCTTATTCTTAGTAGTCTTCTCCTTTTTCGTAGTCGTCATCTTTCAAGTATTCTAATTTTTGTTGTTGTAGTTTTCTTTTTCTTCTTCTTGTAGTCTTCTTATTCTTATTTTTCTTGTCTTCTTATAGGCTTCTTTTCTTCTTGTAGTCTTCTTATTGTTCTTCTTTTTCTTTTTGTAGTCTTTTTCTTATAGTAGTTTTGTTGTTATTGTAGTCTTCTTATTCTTATAGTTTTCTTCTTCTTCTTCTTCTTCTTTTTCTTGTAGTGTTGTTCTTGTTATTGTAGTCATAGTTTTCTTTTTCTTTTTCTTGTTGTTATCTTACTTTTCTTATTCTTCTTGTTGTTGGTGTAGCCTTCTTCTTGTAGTTCTCTTTTTCTTCTTATTTAGTCTTCTGTTTTTTTCTTTCAGTAGTTGTCTTCTTGTTGTAGTACTCTTTTTCTTGTAGTCGTCTTCTTTTAATAGATTTCTTCTTGTTCTTCTTCTCTTGCTAGTGGTCTTCTTCTTCAACTTGTATGCTTTTTCGTCTTCTTCTTATAGTCTTATTGTTGTTGTCATTGTTATAGTCTTCTTGATGTTGTTGTTGTAGTCGTTGTTTTGTTGTTGTACTCTTTTGTTTCTTTTCCTTCTTTTCTTTTTCTTGTAATTTTTTTATTCTTGTATTTGTCATCGTCTTCTTCTTCATGTAGTAGTCTTTTTCGTCTTCTTATAGTCTTATTTTTGTTGTTGTAGTATTCTTCTTCTTCTTCTTGTAGTCATTGTCTTGTAGTCTTGTTTCTTTTTTTAGTGGTCTTCTTTTTCTTCTTCTTAGTGAATTTTTTTATTTTTTCTTCTTAGAAGTGTTCTACTTTTCTATCTTGATTTCTTCTTTTGCTTGTAGTCTTCTTGTTGTTGTCTTCTTCTTCTTTTTGTTTTTCATGTAGTACTCTTCTTGTTATTGTAGTCCTTTTCTCCTTGAAGTCGTCTTGTTCTTCTCGTAGTTTTCTTCTTGTTTTGCTTCTCTTGCTAGTAGTCTTCTTATTCTTCTTCAACTTGTATGCCTTTTCGTCGTTTTCTTCTTGTAGTCTTATTGTTGTTGTCATTGTTATAGTCTTCTTGATGTTGTTGCCGTAGTCGTTGTATTGTTGTTGTTGTAGTAGTCTTCTGTTTCCTTTTTTTTTTGTAGTCCTCTTCTACATGTGGTCGTTTTTTTTGTTCTTTGATATTTTCTTTTTCTTCTTCTCGTATTTGTCGTCGTCGTCTTATTCATTTAGTAGTCTTCATCTTCTTGTTATAGTCTTATTTTTATTGTTGTATTATCTTTTTTCTTTTTTTATTGTTGTAATATTCTTCTTCTTGTAATTCTGTTTCTTTTTTAAGTGATCTTTTTCTTTTTAGTTATCTTTTTTATTTTTTCTTCTTAGAAGTCTTCTACTTCTCTATCTTTTTTTTTGGTAGTCTTGTTGTTGTCTTCTTCTTCTTCTTCTTCTTCTTCTTCTTCTTCTTCTTCTTGTAGTTTGTCTTTTTTCTTCTTCTTGTAGTCTTCTATTTCTTGTATTCTTCTTCTTCTTCTTATTTTTCCTGTGGTTGTCTTCTTTTTCTTCTCATGGTTTTTTTTTTTCTTCTTCTTCTTCTTGTTATAGTCGTCCTCTTCTTCTT